AAGAGAGTTTACGATTATAAGTGTATTGTATATTTATACAAGATTTTAGCCGGTCAATTAAACCTAACGTCATAAAGAAATCTTTATATGTTCTGGTAGTTTTTTTTATTGATCATCATCTTTTCTTTTTTTCGGAGTCCCTAGATTAGGTGAGCGTCGTGTGTCTGGGCCGAACTCCAACTTTTTGGATTGAACTCGTAGTCACGGGGTTCTAGCCATCTAGGGCCTAGCTCGTTCACCTTCCTAGGTAAAAAACCTTCGTGATGCTCTGGGTTATTTAGATCTGGTGCTAAACCCGATACTATCACTTGGGTGTTATTTCTTACAAGAACGATCACACAAGAATCAATTATTAAAGTAAATGCTAGAATACATGTAAAAAACATGTGAGAACTCAATTCATTCATAAAAAAAAAACAAACACATGCGACTAAAGAAGGCTTAAGAATACATCTTTGTTGTTTATTTCCCCAATACATCTTTGTTGTTTATTTCCCCAATAATTAATTCATGGATCATACTCTAGGTGGCCTTTAGTTTTAGTTCTTGAAGGATGGTTCCATATAACTTTCTCATTCTTGATGCCTTTCCTCTAAACTATAATAAACCTCATATTTCAATGTGGTCCCCTACAGCTAAGATGTCGAATGTTGAGACAAACATCCGTCCTAATATTTAAGAACCATCCTACACATGTAGTTACTTTTCTATGAAACTTTGAAAATTTAGATATTCACCTTTGAGAGCATCTACGTGAGTTTAACCTTGACTCACAAGCTCCTAATCCATTCATAAATCTTGGCCAAAAAGAGGGAAGAAGGAACAAGGTATCCTCATTAATCACGCGCACTTAATCCCACCTTTAATCCCATTAGTTCTCTTTAAATGTCACTGATTTGTCCGGTTTCATTTCCATTACGATACTTTTTGACCGAGTCCAAATAACCTGATGGGCTTGCTCTACGCCCATATTTTCCCCTAACAATTCTTCCTTTGAATGAGCATGGTTTACTTACCAACCCGGATCCAACACCAACAAAGTATGCAAACCAAAAAATGCGAACAAGAAATTTACGGCTGAAACATGAAAATAATTATGCCATATAAATCAAATCTATTACACAAATATATATATATGCTACCCTATACAGAAAACTGTGTTAAAACTATGGCGTTTTCCAAACAAATTTGTCGTCAACAATAACCCAAATTAATCTGTTATTCCCATAACTTTGCCACCAATAAAACGGCGTACTTTTTCATTTTCGTAACCAACAACATACTTGTATTTTCATAAATAACACAAATTCTTGCTTACGTGAAATTAAGAAGTGTCAGTTTTTTATATCAAAGCATTTAAAAGTTACTTATAGAGTAAAAAAAGAAAAAAATTGAGTTGCAGAGTGTTCAATTTTGTACCCTAAAAGATATGGTGAGATTACAAATCTAAATTAACTCGTTTTCAATAGGCAATGTGAATCCAAAGCCAACACTGCACATGAATGGTCGTTATTCAACTTTATATAAACGAAAATAAAATAAAATCTTTCAATAATTTCACGCTTGCACCCGAAGTAACCAAAGAGGGGGTTAGGCATTTATTGCTGCAACAAAAGCGGTCATTATTTGCAAGAACCATGTGACTATATTAATTCATAATCACTTCTCTTTTGATTTCAAATTTTAAATCAATCCATTGGAAATGATATGTATTACTATTAAGTATTAACAAATACGTACAACTTTTAAAATTAGGAGTGCCTGACTTTTTCTTACCCATTTCTCTAACTGTTTGCTCTTTCAAATTGTCTCTCTTACACATCCTCATAATAATACATACTAGAAGAGGAAGAAAAGGTAAACAGCCTTCTGGTAATTATAACATTCAAAATTGAAATTTTTGCCATTCTTGTCACGGGTCATACTCATTGCATGTTCTGAAAATGTTTCCGACTTTTGTAAACCCTAATAAATGTGTTCAATTCAAAATCTACATTCCATTTCATTACTTTTGAATTTAGAAAGTCGCCCTTTTATATTTAATGCTAACGATTCATTATGGTCAAAAATATCAACCCACTAAAAATGCATTATTGTTTTGGAATTTCATGGAGATTGACTAGACATTTTGGAATGGAATTATCTTGCTCTCCTCAAGCTTAAATAATAAAAACTGAGGATATTCAAGTGAATATTACTCCTGATCAAGCTTACTATAAAACTGAGAGAAGTAATTAGTAGTAATTATAAACACATCATGTTTAGGCCAGCTCCAACCCAACGGTATAGCACTAGTTTAGTGTAAAATTTTGACTTTTCACACTCCAAAATTTTGACTTTTCACACTCCAATCGAACGTTAAAATTTGCACCATTTTAGTGTGATTCTCTTTTATGCTACAGTATCACACCAAATATGGTAGTGCACTATAGCGACGGTATACCTTTTCTTCTTGTTTTTTATAAATATAATTTTTATTATATGTTGAAATAGGAAAATAGTTATTAGATCAAAAGTCATTTGTATCATTATTTAAAATGTGAATAAAATTTATAGCTACAAAATAAATATACCATCACTTTTTGTGATTTTTAATTTGAATAATATTTTCAAAATGTTTAAATTAATATGTTATTTGAATAAACATACAAAAGAAAATTAAATGAAAACATTGGAAATATAAAATTATAAAATTAAAACCAAAAAAATATATCATAATTATTTTGTATCTTTTTGTTTTAGTTAATATGAACTACTAATTTGTAAATGTCTAAATTAATATATAAATTGATTAAAAAATATATGGTAAAATTCAACTAAAAAGTTGATAATATGAAATTATCGATTTTAATTTTATGTTAATAATAAATTACTTATAAGAAAAATAAATCTTTATCAAAACTATTAAAAAATAAAAAAATATTTAATATAATAATAGAAAAAATGATGTTAGTGTGATATTTGGTGTTGTGGTTGGAGAAAGAAAATATTTTAGTGGTAAAATTTCACTAAAATGGTGTAATTTCAACACTGAAATAGTGTTTATGGTTGGAGATGCTTTAGGTGAGAAACCGTAATTTAGCAGAAACTTCTAAAGATAGATTAATGTTGCATCAACCCGCTAATCGACACTGTCGAATTGACTACACTGGCCCGTACGAAATTATAATACTGGAGTCATAATATGATACAAATTGAGAGTCGTTGGATAATAAATGATAAATAATGGTGATATTCTCTAATAAATGTAAACCTAATTATGTGCACAATTGTGGAGAAACTAGACAAAAAGTGTCATTGCAATGGGATTCTCCAAAATGGGAATATTGATTACACACCCAATTAAATAGTAAGGAGATCCCATGTCTTTTGTTGTTTGCATTTCTCCTCATATTAATGTTTTGAGTTTTTTTATTTTTCCATAAAAATTGATGTTTTAAATTATTAAATGACACTTTTTGCAAATTTCAAAAAACATTAATTAAAATATTTAAATTTTGAATTACTATTGGTAATATGTATTGAAAAAAGTTAATATTAAAAAGTAATATATTAATAACTTACAACTAATTATTTTTTTAATTTGTGTGAAAAAACAAAAATATCAATTTTTATGGAACGGATGAAGTATCTATTGTCCACTTTGTTTTTTACCTTACATGATTACCCAATTAAATAGTTACAACTTACAACGTACACATCAAAATTATAATTTTTGGAAACCTTTGTAAAATGGAGTTTATTAGGACAGTGCCCTATGCATCAACATGTGTTTGCTAAATCACATCTACTAGTATTTCGTTACATCTCCTAATTTTTGTGAAATAAAGTTAGTTCTGCGGTTCCATTCCATTAACATTTCACGTAAAACCGAACAAAATCAAAATGCGAATATATGATCTTTATGTTTTTTAATTAATTGTTACTGTAAGGTCGGACCATAGTTTAGTTATTTGTGTTAATATAATGTCATAATCCAAATTCAAACATGCATAATGCATGTTGTTAAGAAGACAAAAATTTATTACTTGTAAGGCTGCTTGCAGCTATTAAAGAAATATAATCATACGAGTTGTTCCCACAAATATGTTCATTTTTCTTAATAGAGAATATTCTTTTCAATTAATGATTTTCTTAACTCGCATTTGATTCTCTCGCCAGCAAATAGCACTGTAATTTCATTAAACTAAAACCAACAATTAACCGATAATGGTACACGAATATGAAAGATTGAGTAGTTAAAATTCATGATTAAAGAAATAATCAGACCAATACTGAGAAAGCTATGATTTAGTTAGAGAATAACGGAAGGTAGTTTTGTCTTTTATTGAAACCGTAACATTACACCACCATTCTTCTGATGACGTGGACCTTTCGCTTTCATCTTCCCTATCTCTTCTTCACATTAGTGAAAATAAAATAAAAAGATAAAATCAGTGTTTTGTGTTTCATTAAGACAATTTCTCTACAGAAACATTGAATCCGCTTCTTGTCCCCAGAGAGGATCCTATCGTGTAAACTCACCAAACCTCGACCAAGTCAGAAGCTAGATCTTCAGTTTGACTCGCCTCCTTTAGCTCCT